CTAAATAATATAAGAATTGGAGCCGTTCTGATGATATTTACACTTATAAATAAAGTAAAATTGAGCTTGTATAAAAAATAAATATATATATATTTTTTAATATATTTTTCCACTTTTCCTGATATTATTTTTATGTTTTTTCTCTTGTATCGATTCTGATGTGATGAAGTTTTAATGCGACAGGCAGTAGCTACCTTAAATTACATTTATTGAATAAAGAAATCTTCAAATAAGATTACTTCACATCTAATTTCGGCCAAGTTTCTGTATTTTCGTTCTAAAAAAATTCATTTGAATGATTTGTAATTACGAAAAATACTTTCTAAAAAAGCAATTTTTTTATATTTTCTTTATAAATTATTTTTATTTTCCTGAAGTGTGTATATAACAGGGAAGTTAGTATATGTAAAAGGGCACGATTTTGTTTATCCAATTAAAAGCTTAATAACTCCTGTTCCTTTTATCGAAAATATCTGAAATTTTTCAGGGAGGTTCTTATATTAGGGACATTGATGCTGTTAAAGTTTGGTGGTTAAAAGCCCTCGGTGTGGAGAGATAGACGAGATCACGTGTTGTATCTTCAATGGGGTCGGAATTAATGTAGACTTTACTTGTTATTAGTATTTACAATTTTATATAAAACATAAAAATTAAGCTTTCTGCCATTTTATAATTACTAATATAAAAAGTTTGGTAATAAAATCTCGTAACAGATGGCGCCATACACAATTTTAACTTTTCTACCGGGAAAGTTAAGCAACTCGTATTGGATTTTTATTGAAGGTAAATTGAATAAATGAATATACAAAACAACGTGTATTTTTAATTTCTAATTTAATTAATTAAATTAAAAATACATATATGTATGTGTTTATATTGCCAAAATCAATTATGAAATTATAATGAAAATTCAATTAAGTTGATGTTTATATAAGGGGATAAAAATTGATTTAAAATTACTTTAGAAAGTTAGAAAAATTTCTATTTAGTCAGTTGCAATTGAAAATATTTGCAAATTGCACAGTTTCAATGGGAATAGTCTTTGTATACACGTGAACAATTTTCAAAGAAACGTTCTTAGCTCCCTTCCCAAATCACTTGCATTACTACAAATTACTTGGAGGGGATGATTTCGGCATTACTTGCTGATTATTGCTGGTTTAATTTCGCATTGAAATGCATTTAATTCTCTCAAGTCCTTTAAAGAATTAATGCTCGAAGTGTTGAAAATAATATACCTCATTTTAAATTAACCGAAAATTTCAAGATAATTAAGAAAATTCCTCTCTATTATAATACTTTATAACTGAGTTTTTTTTCAAACGAATTTTTTATTACAGTCGACCCCCCTATAAGATATAGATACGTTCCAATTTATTAGGAATCCGATTTCTTACAAGTCGTTCCAATCACAGCCCGACACGTGTCAAGTTTACGGACTACGGCTGATTGAAAGGTTTTCTTCCATAAAATTAATCGATTCTAGACTAATCCGACTCAACATTTCCAAAATACGTATATTTTTTCGTAGTTTTATAGGAATCGTAATTATAGGGACCGTAATTATAGGGGGGTCGACTGTACTCTTAAAATGGTCTTATCCGGTCTCATTAGTAGCTATTTATTTAATTTCATTCGACTATTTGCGATAAATACCACTTAGGTAATTAAAAATGAATGACGAATACAATAGAGTCTCGATTATCCGGTCTAGATTGAACGATTATCCTCTTCCTTTATGCTGGATAACCGGTCTAAACGGTACGATTTTCAATTTTTATTGAAGTTTTGCGTGTCTCCTACGTGCGAAAGTTGCATCCTTGACTCATTTAAGTGACACTTTCTTCATAGTGTCTTGTTCAATTAAGTATTTTATCTGAGAATTTGGTAATATTGTACTGTACCTTATTTAATATGAGCTGTACTTGGAAAGGGTTTGTTATGCGAGTTCAGTAATGAAATAAAAAAACCTGTAAACACCCGCATGTTTTCATGTTACGTTTAGTTATATACAGTAAATAGTAAACATTACGTTACTTCACAGAAATAAGTCTCCATGTAGGAGTAAAAAGAATAAGATCATAAAAACCAGATAATCGGGACTCTATTGTAATAATAGTTAAATGCATTCAGTTAATTTGAAATTAAATTAATATGTTTTACTAAATTTTCACAAAAATATTGTTTAATAGCAATGATCTTTTAAGATTTTAATTAGCTTTTTAGAAAGGAAGAAAATTAATTAAAGACACAAAGTTAATCAACTAACGGTTCTTTACCTATACAAAAATCTTTATCTTTACACAAAGATTCCGATTTTATGCAAATTAAGTCAAAAATACTGTCTCTAATTTTTAAATATTTTTCTACTAATTCTTTATAAGTCTAAAATTTATTGTAATCGGATGTCCCAAGAGAGCCTAATTCTCTGGGGAACCAAAAATCGAATCCGGGAGAGCAGTATATTTATTAAATCGGAAGTTTATTCTATATATGTAGGGCCATATCCTTCGCTATTCCATTCTGCCATGGGTCAATGGGATTGCGAGGGATAGGGTACTACATATGACACATGACCCCTATCTCTCCTTGACCTTTAACCACTTTAAAAGGTCTTGTAAGGGTGGAAAAAGTTAGAAATTAAAGTAATAAAAAGATGCTCTGCTACCCATATCTGTATTAATTTACATTATATCTAATGCATTTATCATATCTTATAAACCAAAATAAAACCTGCTTAAACAGAAATCGCACGATTCCGTTTTGGACAGGTTTTACTGTATTTATATATATACACATTATTATATAACTTGCTAAATTGTTATAATATAATATTCACAAGAAAGACGTGTGTATACAGAGGGAGTAAAAGCATCAGTCTATTGTTTTGTGGATACAAGATTCAAGTTTGGATCCTGTTAAGTAAGTAATCCCTATGCAGTTTCTCTCAGTGTGAACTGGTCGAACACACGATGGGATTGCAACTAAACCCTCTTAGTACCCGCAGGGTTTAAAAGAGTGCAGAAAAAATGTTTTTATTAAACTTCTAAACAAGGAAACGACGCCATATTTATAACAAAATACAACAAAATATTCTGTAAGAAGAAATCTGAAAGTTATATTGATTATTGTTACATTTAATCTGTTGCTGTAATGATTTAGACTGGTGTAAGGAACAAGCGGTTGCTTCGTCACTACCTCGTGGACACTCTCGTTCTCTCACCCTTTGTGACCTAAAAGAACCCATATTACGATAGTCGTCCGGGTTCTTTCGGGTCACAAAGGGTGAGAGTGAATGAAAGTGATCACCCATTCTTCCTTGCATACCACCAACTCCACCCCTGCATACTACCTCTCTGTTGACGTCAAGATGTTATGCTGTTGTCCAACATGCGCATACAATTATACGCGTATTTTTCATCCCCTCATTTAAAAGTTTACACGCATCGAAATACCATACAATTCTCTGTTGTGTCGCTTTTAAAGTTAGTTTACCTTTAAAATCGACACAACAGAGAATTGTATGGTATTTCGAATTAAATTTATACAGATTTGCATCCAAGTGTATGCAAAACAGGCAATTTCCGGCAAAGTACCGCTTCCATTATCTGTAAAAATTAACCGTTTGAGTGATTTTCGATACTTGTTTATTTAGTGTTCTTGTTTATATTATTATATAAAATGATAAATGAATAGAATATTATCCCGTATTATCGAACAGAATAATTATAACTCGTCATATAAAACATCGATCGATGCTATGATAAATTAATGGAGTGTAATCCGATAATGGCATTATCAGGAACACAAAGAAAGCATTACTGAAGTTACCCTTTCCCCCCTCCTTCATTTTTTCCACTGTGTCAGATAGATTTAGAGTTACGTCAAGCGTAACTTCTATATAATCGTTAACTTTTAAATGATGTTACGCCCTGTAAAAAATAGATCCAACGATTTTTATGACAGGAGTTTAATTTCCAAATCTCCATTTTTCTTTGTTAGACACTAAATTGCCTATTATGTTATTATATTTATAGATTGTTAGTATAATAAAAAAACGAATGTATACGATAAATATCGAAACGTTTTTGGAGAAATGCCAGAAATCTTTGGTTTCCTGCCATTTTTTCTTTTTCATTATGGTTTGATCTAAGTTACGTCATTTCTTTGTATATTGATATACAAGAATGACGTTTACTCTAGAGGCAAACTTTGTGTTATGAAGAGTGGAGCTTGGTTACTTAGGAAACTTCACTCGATCATTTTGAGAAAAGCATCCATTGGTCACGGAAGCACCACTTTTATCGCTCTAGAAAACCAAACCTATCATTACATCAAGCCGACATTATTTACTCACGTCCTATTTTCTACTTGAGAGACAATGTACACTTCTTGAAAGCGTATGAACAATGACTTAGTTTTATTTTCTTTGTTTTCAATTAATATTCTGTGGTACTTCAAAATGTTATCTTTTCTTACGGGTGCTATCTGAATAATTATATAATATTTTATTTTTAGATGTCCATAACGACATTTTGTTTATTGTTTCGAGGTTAAGAGCATCTCTTTCTCTTTTTCTTTCTTCGACGTTAGACGTCTCTTGTCTTTTTCTCATTTCTTAACGTTAGAAGCCTGTATTCTTCTTGTTTTTTGTGTTATATTCCTTTTTCTTTTTCCAAGACTTAACTTTAGAAGCCTTTCTCCTTCTTCTTGGCTTTTATAAAAGCCAAAGAGGCTGTGATGGCATCATCTTGCATCCAGAGAACCAAATTGGAACGTAAATAAAATGGAAACATGCCTAAACGAAAAAAAAATTCTTATCTGTGTTAAAAAGAAAACCCGTTCAAAATAAAAACCTGTAAAACCGGAACCGTACAAGTCCGGTTTACGCAGGTTTCACTGTATTTATATTATTGTACATAATGTTACATGTGTGTATTGTATTATTGTGTTGTATATTCATTCATGAGTATTTATATATATAGGTACGTTTATTACAGGTGTTGGGTTTTTTATCGGAGAACCATGCACGGATATATGCAACAATATTTTATTTCATGTTTACTGCAATTTGACAACCAAAAAATGTGAATGTCACGAAGAATATCCAGTAAATATAGAAAATAGAAAATGCGTCAAAGGTATGTGGCATTGTTTTAACTTCTAAAATACTAATTTACCATTATTTAATGAAATTATAACGTATAAATTTCTTTAATTTTATGAAATTCTTATAGTTTTGTGGTCGTTTATTAATTAATTTTACAGTTTAAAGGGGAGAAGGAATCGGGTAATTGTATACAACAGGGAAAGAGGGGGGTTCGAAAATTGTACACGTAATTAATGGAAACTCCTTTTTAAATATTTTTTAATTAAAAATTTTCGTATTTATTTAATTTTTATAAATATTCTCGATATTTTCTAATGAGCATTATGGTTTTTCAATAGTGGATCGCACACATGAATGAATTCAAAGTCTGGAAAGTTAGTAAAAGTACCTTTCAGACGGTCCGAAATAAAGTAATTAAAAAAGAAATAAGAAGAAGAAAGCCAAGAAGATCGTCTAAAAATCCTTTTAGTATTTTATTTTTATTTTTTTTTGAAGTAAAGTATTAAAAGGATTTCTTCTATAAGATCCATTCTCGAGATATAATCTTCATCTATGAAACATATTAAATGTAGAAAAACTTTAAAGATAATTTTATCTTACAGAGAATTAAATGGCTATTTTAGATTGCATAGGGCCCTAGGAGATGGCATAACACAAATCCACACAAGTAGAAATAAATCCTTGCATGGACTTGAAGGCCCTTCATACAAGTCTATGTAATAAAAACAGTATCAAACGATACTCGATATTGATATAACTTGTAATATGAGGCCTGTAAAAGTGCAAGGCCCCAGTACTATTATTCGATTATTTAATTATTTTTTTCGAGTTTTATTTTAAAGAATAGAACAATTCTCATAGGAGGATACACGATAATTATACCTTATAAAAATAGACATGATTTTTATAGATAAAAAATAAACTAAAACAAACTGTAACTAACTTACAACATAAATCAATAGAATTGATCGAAGCTGATACACGACATCATAAAAAAAAAGAGAGAACGGGAGTAGATAGAGATATTTTCTTTGCGTTTATCTAAAAATTGCCAGAAAGAAAAGTACAAGCGCAGATCCATCTTAACACAGAATAATATCTTCTATACTTTAAAAACTTTTGATAAATTGTACTCATTTAAATACTTGAAGGGGAATAATGCAACCTACTAAATGACTAAGAAGACTTATATCTGTTACGACTTAAAAATAGTCTATAGGTTTTGTCTTATCGTCGTTTGTTATCAAAACTCTTCTATTTTAAAGCCATTTATTTTAAATGATTTTTATATTTTCTTTTAAAGTCTTACACACGCATCTTCTGTTATATAGCCTGTAACAGAAGGAGCGTGAGTGAAGGCATAATTATTTTCTCTCAATATGAAGCATAATAACTCATGTGTCGTTAGTCTTAAATTTTTGAAATTTTGCACGGAGATTTCTGTATTAGTGGACCACGTTTCTAGAAACTTTCAGGAAAATCGGATAATTTTATCGGGAGTTATGGCTCCACTCACTGAATATCTCCAAAACCGATCTGAACTCTTAAAGGTAATGGTAGTAATTATTAGATATGGAAACAAATAATATGGGAACGTTCAGCAACAACATTGCCAGCTTTCTAAGTATACAAAGGAAACGTTGAGAAAAGAATATTTGTCGTTTTCTTATTTACAAAATAATATTTAATTACTTGAATTTCTGCCAAATTTTTCTTTTATNGTGAAATAGGATGAATGTTGGACCTATTTAAACTTCAGTTTTCAGTCACTGTTTTCTGAGTGGTGTATGCCAGTTCTGTTTTGTTAAATTGGACATTGCTTTCTACCATTCTGTCTTTGCAATTTTTCCTGCACAAAAACAATACAACTTTTTTCATTTTCAATAGATTAAATCTTTGATAATACCTTTATCATGCTGCTTCATCTGCTTCTGCCAAATATACTACTGAGTAGTTAAAGAGAGCTGAAAGGCTTCTATAAACTTCTGTAATAAATATTTTAAATAAATTTTCTTCATTATTTTTCCACTACCTTTATCATCATTACCAGAAATCATCTTCTTCATCTTTACCACCTTCTACATCATCTTCACTGTTTTCTTCTTTATCATTTTCACCTCTATCTTCATTATCTTCTCCAGCATTATCAATTATTTTTTTACGATTTTCTTCATCCTCATCGGCTTTTTCATCTTATCATCTTATCTTAGAGCCAAGAAAATGGTTACTTATGATTTGCCTTTATCATTCTGCCTCTTACATCTTCATTGATGGATGAAGATGTAAGACCATTGTTTAAAAATAATTGTTTTTATAAAGTAATTCTGTAAACTTAATACTCATCTTCTATGCTATAGAACATCAAATAATCTAAGCCGCATTAACAATTCATACATTTCTGTTCATTGATCATACTTCATTTTTTTCACATAAAATTTTAAAATAAATAAATAATTTATTTAGATATTGCTTTAAATTATTGAGCAGTTGCGAAGATAGGAGACGAATGTCAATATAGCGAAGCATGCACCCACTACGATGAACATTCTGTGTGTCATCCGGAGGGAGACTGCAGATGTGATGAGAAGTACCAGAGCCAATTCACAGAAACGGGAAACATAATATGCATACCAGGTAAAAAAATTTTAAATTCATTTTATATAAAGAAATTTATAATCTAATCTCTCGCTCTCTCTTTCTCTCTCCCTATCTTTTTACCGTGTCCTATAAGCAGCATCGACTTCAGATTTGAGAGTGTCCACTATAAATCCCCGAACACTGGTTGGTCGTGGGTTCGTGCCTGGCTAAACGGGCTGGCCATGTGGAGTTTTCCTGGTTTTCTTCATAGTTTTGTTTTCCATAAAACACCTCCCGGGAGTCATTCCTCCCTCGGGAGATTGCCCGTGACGAATAGAACCAATCAAATTAAATTTGAGAGGCCCGATGTAAAATATAAATGCCAGCCTTTTCAGACGCCCATATCTTTCTAACCAAACACGGGTACTCTTTAAGGCCCTCTAAGAATAAGCTTATTCACGAAGATTGTATCCTATGTCTTAGGCCACTGGTTCCTAAACTATGCACCAAAAACTAGTCAGGGGCAATCGACAAATTGTTGAAACTCTTTTTTTTTTTTTTGTCGTTACGATGAATTCATCGTTTAATTGCTTGTGTGTATACAGGCGAAATTGTATTTCAACAGTTGCTGGTGTTGTGGATGACTACAAAATACAGCGACATTTCTGTGTTACGACTAGGATTGATCATGTGCAATCGGAATTAGACAATTCTGAAGGCACTTACCACATTATGGGAGAGAACTTTTGTTCTCGGACTGGTCATTCGCGATGTTGCTAACAATAAATACATGTCTTTACTCATAGGAATGTTATATATATGTATATACTGTATATCGACTTAACAGATCATTCTAGAAATTTTATAACATTAAAAGAGGTATACAGTAGAGCGTCGTTTATTCGAATCAATTGGGGATTAGGGTTGTTCGGATAACTTATTTTTCGGATAACCGATTATGTACGAAAAAATATATTAATTAACCTACCCCGTGTTGAAATTTTTCTCCGTTGCGTGTCGCTTCGCGCTGAATTTTCCTTGTTGTCAAGCCTAACGTAAACTTTTTAAAGTAATAATCGTGGCTATTATATCGTTAAAAATTATTTCTTTATTTTTTCAAACAAAATAAATATATTGAAAAATATAAAAACAAGAAAAGTTATAGTACTTTAGAAGTTAATCTAGTATCAAAAATGTTCGATTCAGCACCACACACAATCTCAGAAAAACACTACACAAAAGTGTCAGTGCTGCCAGCTAAAACACACCCACCAACAAAAAGAGTATTGGAGTAGCCCAAGATATAGATAAAGATTGCAGCTTCACAGCACTAGCGAAAATTTAAATTTGCCGACTGGAATTCTTTCGGTTAACCGACGTTTCGGATAACCGGCTTTCGGATAAACGACGCTCTACTGTACGAGCCCATTTCGTTCATTTCTTTCAACCGTCTTTTAATTGGCTACGACAGCACAAACAACAACCATCCTGCAATGTCCGTAACAGAAAATTGCTCAAACATTTACAGTATTAGTTTTTTTTTGCAACAATTCAGTGTCCTGTATACATACACACACATTTAAGTCTTTCAACTGTTTCTTTGTACTTGTTAACCAGAGTTTTAACAATTTGTCTATTGTGTAGGACTTTTTAAATGTCTCCATTTCTTTCTTTAGTTCCGTTTCTTTTCCTGCAGCTGGTCTCTCCTTCCGTCTTCTCCTAGACTTACACTTAATTCTTTCTTTAACATAGTGCCTTTGTGTTTTAATAAAATAATATAATTACAGACCTTTTTAGTGATGGCATTATAACATGAAAGATTGATACGTGACGATTCCAAATACTGTATACGATATAAGTTAATTGTAAACGAATAAATTTTATTGTACTGATATAATTAAAAACATAACAAAAATTAAGTACAGCAGAATATCTACAGTCTGTCACTCGCCAGTACAACACGTCTTGTAATTCGACACTCGCTAGTTCTATATACGTCAGACTACAGAGAATCTACCGTATTTTTCCCATGTTTTTATGTGTAAAATACATGTCTATTATGAGATCATGGGCACAAAGATCCAAATTGTTTTTATTTTTTTAACAAAAATGCAATCATAATGACAGTATGAAATTTTCTTGTGTTTATCAATTATTTTTATACAGTATGGACCAAAAGTATCGACTCGCCTATATGAATTCAAAAAGGGTTGACAAACATTAATCTAATGTCCCGACGAATGACATAGAAGAAGGCAAAACCTGTTAGGCCATGTTACCAACTTGGCAGCCATCTTGAAATCAGCCATTTTGGATTCAATTTGAAGTTTTTTAAATGGGAAGATAGGCATTTACCAGAAATACAATAGTTCACTTAATTTTAACGTAACTTTCTGTTTCTGTTCGGATATTGAATCACTGTTTGCATTGGTTTTTTATGTTGGTGGATCAACACTTTTGGACTGTCCTGTATAAAAATTTATAATATAGTTAAGCTTGTTTTTTTTTTGTTTTCAGGAAATTTAAATCTTATTGTCTTATTTATTTCATCGACATAATACAAATAAGCGTATTTTATTTTTGTGGTATTAATACTGGCGCTGTAATCGTGCCAGGGCGTACCAGATAGCGCCCTGGTACTTATTTTTGAGCAGGGCGATGCCCTTGTTGATTGTTAACATTTAGGTTAAATTTTCTTCCAAAAAACTGAGAAATATACTTCTTGCACAGTTTTCTGTGCTGATTACGAATACATAGGTGATTTTGGGCGCATTTAAGATGCTTTGCAGATATTGCATCACAAAGTTGCGCTTTGCCCATGTAAAGTTCCATAGACGGTGGCGCCTCCGCAGACAGTGGCGATTCAATCTAGGAACGCCAGTTAACGCCCTGGTACTTTTTAGTTTACTGCTTCGATTAATACATTATATTGAACTAGACTACTAATCAAAACATCTGAGCACGCTGCAAGTTGGCGGATTTCCATTAAATTTTAAGGAAAATTGAAACGACAGTGGGAAATTTAGTGGGAGGTACAGTATTTTTCTTGAAAATTTTCGGGGACTGGTTTTTATATTTATACAGTATTGTGTTATAAGATATTGTGGCCTAGCTCGGGCTTGATATCACGCAACGTTTAGTGGGAAAGTGTTCAAATTTAGTGGAAACTGGAGTTTGAACTAGTGTAAAGATTGTCTATGGGTGCGTTTACTTCTGAGTTAGCAGTGCTAATTCTGATAACCGGATGTGACGTCATTAGCACGTGTATTCGTGCTTGCTTGTCCAATTCGAAAGTGAACACATATGCTAACAAGAAATATGGCGGTTTCCAGCCATATTTCTTGTTAGCATATGTGTTCACTTTCGAATTGGACAAGCAAGCACGAATACACGTGCTAATGACGTCACATCCGGTTATCAGAATTAGCACTGCTAACTCAGAAGTAAACGCACCCTATGACTTGGCAACAGCGCCATTATAGCACGAAAGTTACTACAGACATGTCGAACTAATGAACATTGTACTGTACAACTTTAAGTCTGCTTCAGTTTTCACTATGATAAGCTATGCTTTTCGAAAAATAATTGCATCGAGGTGAAGACCACATTATCGTGGATATTTTTATGTATATACTGACTATTATTAAACGAACAGCCGGATTCGTTATTGGGCTATAAAGCTAAATAATTACTAAATACGAGACAGGCCACTATATTTAACAAAATATGATGGATGATTGAACGAATTACTATTACTGTATTTAACAAGAGATGGTGGCCCGCGTGTGGTTCGTTTGGTATTTGAAATAACTTTCGGGATAGATTTATTTATTACTGAATAATATTTTTATTAAAACAAAATAAACAAATACATGATTTTTAATATTACAAGAATACAATCAGCGAATCGTACTGTTTCGCTAGCTCCGAATTCGCCATCTTGTGACGCCATGTTGGAAAGTTGCATTATATTATTTAAATAAATTACAATGCAACCGAACCTCCAACTACGGCTACTTCTAAATGGCGCCTATTTTTTCGGGAAAGTTGAATACAGATGCAAGCAAAATCACCCCTAAACAACGGTTATATTTTTGTGTCTCCGGTATTGTCCATTGTTTACAGGTTTTGGCTATATTTAACAAACTGACGAATATATTTTAGTAAATCACGTATAACAGCATTTGTATCCGCAAATTTGGTAAATAAAAATAAATAAACACGTGTGTAAAAGATTAAAAACATGTAAACATAAAGGCATGTATGTTTTTTAATTAATAAAATATGATAACAGATGGCGTTACCAAAATTTTAATTGTTGCTGGGAAAGTTGAGCAACTCGTTGCTGGTTATTATTATTCCATTTTAAATATATTATTACGTTTTATTTTTTAAATAAATTCGTATAAATGTGTTTATTTTTAATTATCATCCTTTAGAATCCATCCTTATCCATACTTTAATTACAGAAACAATAGAAAATTCTCATAGATAATTAATTATATTATAATAAATTCTAGAAAGTGAATAATATTTATTTATTTATTTAATATTAAGCAAATCCAAACGGAATACTCGATAACTCCGATTTTGCAACTTTAATAAGCGTAGTTGCAGGATTGATGATATTTACTGGTCTTTTTTGCCTTGTGCTCAAATTATTCAGCAGGTAAATTATACTGTTTCAAATCTAAAAAAAAGTTAATATATTTGTATATTTTAAAAAGAAATTCCATTTTATTTTTAGGGCACGCTTTAATCGACCACGTGATCGTCTCGGAAACGCTTCTGCTCCTTCCGTTGTCATGACAGGCATGGACGCATCAGGATCATCTGTGATCGGCTCTAGGCCACCTTCGCGTACAAGTGGTAATTATAAAATAATTACTCTCTTATATTTACTCCACTAAAGCTTGAGTGTATAAAACTACTGAACACAGTAGTTTGGCTGCCACGCAATCCGAAAACTTATCATCCGCAATCCGTGGTGTTTTTGGGTATTCTTCATCTAAATAGAAAGCAGTTAAGTTTGGTATGGTAAAGTCCTCCCAGGTTTGAATTCTCCTTGGCAGAACTCGCAGATATTGTGTTACCTCATCTCATCTTCTTATACAGTATAGTCGACCCCCTATAACAATGTTGATTTTTCCGTTTTATATGGATTCCATGTTGTACAAGTCAGTTAGATTTTACAAATACGTGTGCCAGGCTGTAAACGGCTCACATATTTGTAAAATCTAAGTGACTCGTACAACATGGAATTCATATAAAACGGAAAAATCAACAGTGTTATGGGAGGGTCGACTGTATATGTACTATATAAGGAGATAGGATTTCGTTTGTGGTATACCATTGAAGGATTACAGATCTAGTTGATTTTTTGAAATCGCATCACTGTAGCCATTTAAAAGATAACACCTGAAACAGTTGACCACAGAGCTGCGTAGGGACATTTATAGCAATTAATAATTAAATTATGCCCACATAGTATGTATTTTATTTAATGTATGATGAGGTAACATAAGACTGTACGAGGTATCTGGGTACAAATTTTAATTTTTTCACTACTAGCCATACTGACTAATTCTTTGATTGGAATTATATAAAGCTTGTAGAGGAAGGTTGAATTTCCTAAATTGTGAATCTTTAAAATAGAAGTGATGATCTTTGCTGATTTAATGTCAGGTTATTTTCTTAGTTAGATTTTGGCTGGATTTGCTTGAACATTTATGTAGTATGCTGCCAATTATGATTATTTTTAAAATTAAGATAGGTGCATTTAAGAGTAAGCATACTCTTAGACATCATTACCAGCAACGAGTTGCTTAACTTTCCCGGCAGCATTTAAAATTTTGGTGGCCCCATCTGTTATGATATTTTATTTTAAAAACTTTTTCTATTTTTAACTATTATAAAATGGCAAAAAGCTTAATATTCAGGGTAGGGATGAGTTTTATAAAAATATTTTAATTGCTCATTAACGAGTGAAATCGTTATTAAATCCGATTTTATTAGAGATACACACGATCCGCATTATATCCCCACCCCCTGGACCTTTAATTACCAAAATTTAACAGCATCAATCCCCTTAATACACGAAGCTCCCAGCAAAATTTCAGAAATTTTCGACAAAAAGAAGAGAAGTTATTAAGTTTCAAAGAGGATGAACAAAATCGTGCCCCCCCACACAAACATTCATACATATAAAAATTACCCCAGTGTTTTTTTTTTTAATTTCTCGGCATTTCAAGGTATTCTAAGTTGAAAAATGTAAAATACCAATCGCCACACTTTTCTTCTGTTATAGAACAGTCAGAAAAGTAAAAGTATTTAGTCTGTTTATTTTATGTCTTCAGCTATACAAACGGCAAGTTTAAAGAGAAAAATTATGCAATTATATTATGCAGATTGAATTTTCAGAAATTTGTTTTCCATTAAAAATGTGCTTATGAATAAATTCAACCTTAAACATGTTTGACTTTACACCAGATAACTCTACAAATTAAAATATTTGAAGCTATTTGATTACTATTGTATTTGTTTACACGCAAGTTCATCTCAAGAAAATGTAAAATATTTGCATTAATTTAAATCAATAAATCCCATAATGTTGAAGATGTAAAAATAATTTACTTGAAAACTATTTTTCTTATTAACACATAACAGCATTATAAAACTAATAGACGAATACAGTTAAAGTCAGAATTATTTATAAAGGGTATGTACTCTTAGATCCCAAATGCCTACCCGAAGCCGAGTGTATAAAACAATTGAATATGTCGCGGGTTCGCACTTCGTGTAGTATTTCGGGTTTTATTCACGTTTTTAATAATTAAATAGGAGGCATTTCCCATAGAGACATCTCCTTTGGCAGATAACCCAAGTGCTTAACCGAAAAAAAAAACCATCCACGCATTGTAACATCCGTAACCACGTCGCACATACCCAAACCGAAAGATATTTTCGATCAACCCCCTCCTTAATTGTATACTAAGCGATAATACACAGCACAGAATACCGAACGTTACATTATTTTATTAATTACACGTGTAACGTAAAAAGCAGCGATATAAACAATACGATTGGTGTAGTAGCGCATAAAGTGCATTGCAGTGTATTCTCCCTCATATCCCATATATATATAACTCAATCTGTGTAAACTGCTTAAAATAAAATTTATATTATAATTTGAAAATAAAAGAAAGCACTCGTAGTTACACGAGCCAAGTACAAATAAATTGGAGTCTTCACAATTCGCGTTATTTTTACGCTACAAAAACACACACACACACACACAAAAATACAGCGAATGGAACAGCTGTTTTAGGTTCTTTCCAGTCTGAATATGTAAAATAAGTTTTCTGTTAAAAAAGGCTTTTTTTTCAGTTAAATTTAAAAACTTATAATCTGTATATTTTATTTTCTTGGCTGTTATATATAACATAGGAAAAGTATGGCGATCGTTCAAATCATGACCTCTAAGATTTTTACATTTTTGAACTCAAGGTACATTGAAACAATACGAAAGCAAAAAGTTGGGTTTTTTCTGAAGGTGTTGGCATTAGTCTGTGTTTGGGAGGGAGCACGATTTTGTTCACCCAATTTGAAGTTTAATAACTCCTGTGCCTTTTGTCGAAAATTTCTGAACTTTTGCAGGGAGGTTTGAGTATTAGGTGGAATGATGCTATTAAATTTTGGTAATTGAAAGTTAAGAGGATGGGGAGATAGAAGGTGTCGTGTGACATATCTCGACTGGGGTCGAACTTAATGAAGATTTTACTCGTTATTAGAAGTTAATTAAAACTAAAAATATTAATTAAATTTAAAAATAATATGTTTAGAACGTAATGCACTAACTCGTAGGATTATAAGGTTTGAATTATGAATAAAATAAAATATAAGGTGACTTAAAAAGTCGATATTTTCTCACTCTAAATATGCTTCTGGAAATCTTTTCTGGCTACGAACTTCTACAATTCAAAAAGTTATGTCATATCTGTAATCAAGAAATCATAATACAGTTAAACCTTCATTAACGGACACTCCCGAATAGCGGGCACCTCTACTTAACGGACATTTTTACAATCTCCAGACCCTTCAAATAGAACATCTATTATATTAACTTCTAAATAATGGATGTTGTCGTCCATAACCAATTTTACGAAGAAGTAAAGTCAGGCCTTCAATATTCTGAAAGAATTAAATATTTTATAACGAAAAAAATTAGTTTAAATCGGTATAGATGGAAGAATATCGAACCCTTCGAAGTTGCTAGCAAATCGCCTTCGTAACTTGACATTCGAACTCTGCCTAACCCGATCTTCGTCCACCCTTCCGTTAATAACAAGTTTCTTTGATTGCAATTTGAAAAAAAAATTCTAGACCTATAAATTCCCATTGTCGTTCGTCTGTCCGTCTTTCCTCAATCTCGATAATGAAATTAGATAGATGAAAGATGAGACCAGATATGAAAACCTAAGGGACATCGGAAACAATTACAGAACCCGACATTAGAGCTTTTCGGGCCCTGTGACCATTCTTAATATAGCATTTTAGTTTAATTTTTGAAATGAGTATTCTATGATTAAAAAATATTATGCAAATATCGCATTGTATTCATTTTATAATCAATATATTTACGGAATTATTACCACTGTATTCGAGTTATTGGTATGGAAGACGAGGAGTATCGAGCTACAAGCCTTAGATACGGGGCGATAGTTTCTGCTTGCTCTTTTTTCTCGTAGACCCTTCTCGTCTCCAAACTAGTAGGATAAATTTAATTTTGAGTTCCTTCTCAAAAAGTTTTTCAGAAGAACCTTTCGATGAAAGTACTCCCTCATTGAGGTCTCCAGTGAGAATTTTACAGAATACTTCAATAAAAGGACGTCCTTATTGAAGTCTTCTTTGCAAAAAAAAAATTTATAGAAGAATCTTCAATGAAAGAGCTCCCATATTGATGTTTAAATTTTGCAGAAGACCCTCGCATGAGATGTTCTGTGGAGCCTAATTATTCCGCTACACTGACTCCAATTGAGGCATGTATGAACGAGCAATGAGGAAGAAAAAAAAAAATGTGTTTACTGTCCATATAATTATAAATATTTCTGTATATTTTGGTAAACAAAAATTTATATAAATTGCTATTAGATTATTATTAATACTTCAAACTTTTCCCTTGTAAATTTCTCAATCCCAGAGCATTTTTATTAAAGTATATATCATTGATTACATAGTAAAAGAAAGTTATTTTTAAATAAAAATTTACGGAAAAACAATATTTCAAAGCGATAATAACCTTGTGTACGATATATTAAAAAATATTTTGTGAAAGCGAAAGTTATTCAGAATGTCGATTGCAATACATGAATGGATGGGCATGAGATCTTTCAACTAAATAATTCTCTTTTTTTTATTTTTGCTGCAGGCCTCGGTTATCAAAAGAAGAAGAAAAAAAATAAATTAAAAACGACATTTTCACTTGAAAATCTTTGCTGACATTTTGCCATTAGAAAGAATTTTTTATATTATTATTATTTTTTCTTCTTCTAAGTGAATAATGTCACCCAGCTAAGAATCGATTCTGTCCATAATAATCACATAGATTTTGCTTCAGAAGAAAGACCTTTCGCAACTGAACGACCTCGTGTCATTTTGAATAAAGTTCTTTCTCATCTTATTGGATAATGTCTAGAATTTTATTTTTTTATTTGTTTGTTTAGTTACTTGTTTGTAGATTTCTAATACCTTATTGTTTTTTATAGATATAAATTTAAAAATAGAAAAATAAGCCATTATTTAAATCTACATGTGTGAAAGTCTGTAACTATGTCTTCTACATTGATTATCTTTAAATTAATCTTAAAAAAAAATTGTAAGCAAAATTTTTATAAGTTGTATTGTGATTTTTGCAGTTTAATAAGTAAATATTGCTGTAATTTATAAATTTAAAATTATGAAAATGAATAGAGCAGAGCCAGCACCTAATCACGCTTATGCAAATTTATAATTATGTTTTCTTTATTGAATTTCTTTACTTCTTTAGTAACGGCTGATCATCTGAGGTGGTAGTTTAGCTCTCTGGGGGACCCAAATTCCAAATTTTTCGGGGGTGATCCGTCCGATATGTCAGTCCCCGTCTCTAACCAATAGCTTTTTTGTTGTTAACCTGGCAGAACCCATATTGGGCTTATAAAGCCCATTATGGGTTCTACAAAATCACTATCTGATTTTCCTGCTCTTGAAGACACCAAGCAACAAGTTTTTATCAATTAATGAATAGACGTATAGTTTGAAAGAAGTTGAATATTTTTACGAAAATGCCTCTTCATCTTGTAAATATTTTATAATTTAAAGCAGAATAATAATATCGATAACCTATTTTTTATAATATGTAAGAACTTGATATGCAGATGAACTTCATTTTAAAGCGGAACTTAATCTTTAATTAAGAATTTAGCAATTTGTAGTAATTAAAATAAGTATTTTACAGGTTGTTAAATGCTATTTCTAGCGTAAAACTGTACTCTTTTTTTTCTATTCTTTTATTTACTCAAGTATAGATCGAAATGATAATTTAAATTGATACGATGTTTTGATATATAGAATGTATTAATATATTAGGGTGTTAAAATTAAAAGTATTGATAAATTTTATCAACAAACACCTTTATGGCGAATTCATTGATACAGAAAGGAATTGTTTGTTCAAACGAAGTAATGAGTGCTATCGAATTTTCCACCAATGCTCCTTGAAGAATGTCTTTAAGATAACAGCTGTAAGATTTTACTACTTTAGTTGTGTCGATTTTGTGAAGAATTTGCCTTATAAAAAATGATTTAATGAGTGTTTTTTTATGTTAAATTTTTATGTAATTTAATCTGTAATTTATATTCTTATATATTTTACCAGCGTAAAATTTAAAAGCGTAACGAAGTATTTCTTCTAAACAGGGGATATTCCTTAAAGTTATAACTGTTTTTCAGTTTATAATTAGAGAAATATAGCCTATAATTTTTACTTTACCGGCTTTTATACATAAGAGGGAAAGTGTGGTACTCGGTCAAAAAATGACCACCAAAAATTTTTACATTTTTGGACTCTGAGGACCTTGAAATGTCGAGAAATGCAAGAAAGTTGAAGGGGTTTTTCTGTATGTATGGATGATTTTTCACCCACTTTAAAGCTTAATAACTTACTGTACGTTTTTTCGAAAATTTCTGAAATTTCGCATAGAGCTTCGTATATTCAGTTTATTAAATTTTGGTGGTTAAAAGTCAAGGGGGTAGAAAGAGACTGCTTCATGGTGTCATTAAAAACACATCTCGAGATTGGACTTGAAGATTTTACTCATTATTATCATTTATAATTTTTTTCTTTTTATAAAACTTGTNGATGATTTTAATAGAAAAAAAATAGATTTAATATATAACAATTGTCTACTTTCTAATCGTTTATAAAGTTCGAATTTAATATTTAACCTTCAATTGATCCTAATGAAAATTTTTGAATCGTGTTTGAAGAAATTTGTTGCGTTTCATAAGCGAAATGGCCATTATATTTAATAATTATCCTCTCATTTATAATAAATCAATTTAAAAAATGTTTTTAATAAAGTTTCGGATCATTTTCAAATTGGCTCTACCACACCTCAAATAAGCACTTAATCTAATTAATATTGTGAATATATTTCTGAGTGTTATTGATCTACCTGTAAAATGATATTACTGACAGTCAAATTAAACTTCCTCTAAATGGTAGCCAGTTAGTATAAAGATAAATAAATGAAGGTTTCTTTTTGAAATAACCTCCAAACAACGGCAAGTTTTATGTTTACGTCAGTGGCCTCTTTTCACAGGTTTCGAAAAATTCACATTAAGATAGTTACATTAAAAGTGAAGACATTTAACGATTTGATTTTATTGTGGAAGGTGTCACGTAACCTCTCAATATCGAGAGTGTTTGCACAGATATAAAAACTTTTACGAGATAAATTTTTATTTACTTTTTATTCTTTTCTTTTCTTTAGGATCCCGGCGCCCAAGCTCTTCATCTGTTCGTTCTCAGCTTTCTTTACGCAGCCACTCGTCTTTTCGATGTCATCGAAGTCACCGCGACATTGTTCGAAGGACGTTATCTTCACCAGCCGATTCTCATCAAAGTCCACAAAAGACCATATCTTCTCAAAACAGCACAGAAATAACTAAACAGGTAAACACACGGATAAGGATATGATCATTTCTAAATTATTCTAAACTTTAATTTTCTCTGCAGCCTTCTCCAGAGCCACCAGATGATCATCTAAACCACATATAAAGAAAGTGAAGATTGAAGAACACGGAAGAGTGGATGGCGCTTGCCAAGATGTTACTTAAGAAGTAGAAGAAGAAGAAGAAGAAGAAGGGGGAAAAATCATTTGCCTTACCTCATTCAATCCATTTAACAAATTTTTGTTTTTCAAAGAAATACCGCATTGAAATCAAAATTGAGGGTTTATAAAAACATCCCTCATCTCATCCACAATATATTGTGAATGCACAAAAGAAAATCTCCCAAAGAAATTGAATGAAACTGACTGCACAATTCTTAAATGAAAATGAACTGTAGAAATGAACCCTCACCCAATTATATATATTGGGAATATGTTATCGGATTTTTTTTATATTTGAATTGGGCATGTCTTTCTATCAATTGTTCAATATCATCCCACATCGTCTCCCGATTTGTCTTTTTTCGGAATTTTTGCTCTTATATAGCTATATCTTGTACATAGGAAATAAAATATTATACTTCTACATTTAAGAATTTTTCTATTATAAAATAAAAAGTAAAAGGAACATAATTAACTTGCTTTAAATTCGCTGATACACGTTTTGAACAGTGTGTTAACTCCTGTGATGAACATACAATTGGCAATTATCTTGCGTACGACCTGATCGATTAATCTCTGTTGTAATAATGCTTTTTTCGTAAATTTTAATAACTTGCCTCCTTTTTATAACTCTACAAACACTTTTGGCAATCCTCCTTCCTTAAACTGTACACATAATTAATTTAATAGACACACTAATTCTCAAATTCACTTTCATTCACAACAAACCACTGTTATTCAAACTATTTTTCGTGTTTTACCTTCATCTTGTTTTTTGTAGAACTTTCTTAACAAGAAGATGAGATGAAGGGTGGTACTGAATTGGAAATAAATATTTAGATAATACTTCAATTGGTCATTCTGAATAGCCTTCTGTTGTGTGTGAAGGTGATCATCTCTCTAAGTCAATTCCCTCCTTCTCCATCACTGTATTTGAATTCTGCTGCCTCGAAGTAAAAAATAGGACAAAAATTGAGTTTTTAATGTTTAAATTTGAGTTTTAACATTGAAAAATGAAGAGTTAAGGAAGTTACTGAAGTAAATTAAGGATATGGAACCTTGTAAAAACCATAATAGAAATTTTAACAGTATTTTTCTAGTATCATAATACTGTATAATTTAATCAAAATTCATATTACTAAAATAAGAAATGCTAATAAACTATCTAGAAGTATTACAGCATTGCCAAAAGTAGAAAAAAAAAATAATTTAAATAATAAGTTTGAATCCATTTTTAATTACGAAATCCTAAAAATGGACATAGACATAATAATATTTTAAAAGTTTTATGGTATTAATTAATTTTATTTAAAATACCCAATACAAAAAGTTTTCTATTGATAAAAGTATAATTATTTTTAATTTTTAAATTTTGTTTTTTTTTTTTAACAGAAATAATAGAATAAATGAAATCAAATATGGCGCTCTGCATATAATGACACTAAAAGTACACTTAGCGCCCTCTTGTGTGATATTTTTAAACTATTGAATAATAATTGTTAAAATTTTAATTAAAAATATATTAAAACATTCTTAATGAAAGATAATTTAAATTTGTGTATAAAATTATTCTTTATTTTAGTAAATATATTCTTTTATACGTAAAAATATAAAGATTTTTAGGGAAAATTATTTAATTTGTGTATAAAGTAGGTCTTCTTAAAGTGAGGTGTAAATAAATAATAATAGAGACTTCTCTCTCTTCATAAATTTAACATGACCCTAGGAAGAGGGGTATGTTACTTACTCTATGGAGGTGCCTAAAGTAAATACATGTCCTTACAAATTAAAATATTCTGAATATAACATACAATTCTAAATACAGTATACAAGTCGACCCCCCTATAACACTGTTGATTTTTCCGTTTTATATGAATTCCATGTTGTACGAGTCACTTAGATTTTGCAAATACGTGAGCCGTTCACAGCCCGGCACACGTATTTGTAAAATCTAAGTGACTCGTACAACATGGAATTCATATAAAACGGAAT